GTGAGGCAATCGGGGTTAAGTGACTTGCTCAGAGTCACACAGCTAGTAAGTGTTATGTGTTTGATGCCAGATTTGAGCTCAGGTCCTCCTGACTCCAGGGCCAGTGCTCTATCCACTGTGCCACCTAGCTGCCCCCCAATCCTGTGATTTTAGAACTAAGTACTCTGCTCAATCTTTGGTCTGTTTGAATATTTGCTCTGGTTCAGAATGATTCCTTCTATGCATGGATCTCCAGAGGGATTCTCAGGAGAGAGGAACCAATAAAAACAAAAAAGTCAGGAGGTTGACAGGGCTACCTTGATTGGCTGCCCATGAGTATCATTAGTCCAGCATTTCTGCCATGGCACCGGCAGAGGGAGCTGGCTACTTCTCCCCAGGGAGTTAGCCTATGTGTTAAAGACATGGGAAAGAAAGCTGATACCTTGTGGATCAGTCAGATTGTAATTTTGCTTTTTACATGTCTGTTTCTCCCCCTCTTTCTTAGGTCTACTGACCGGCAGGGACCACCGCTGTATTCAGGAAAGTGTAAAATCTAAATAATGTTTAGTATGATGGAAGGAATATTGAACCTAGAATTCTGAGACCTCAGTTCCTCTCCAGGCTCTGACATTGTTGCATGTAATGAATGACATGTCACATCACCTCAGTTTCCTTATCTATCAAATATTAATAATAATGCTTACATGAGATTATTGTAAGTAAAGAGATCTGTAAACCTTAAAAGGCCCTATACAGGTTTTTTGTTTTTTGTTTTTTGTTTTGTTATCAGTAGAGCAAGTGGTGGGCTCAGAGAGTCAGGTTTCCAGGGTCTCATTTCTAGGAGCAGCCCTGAAATTACTTGGAGTGATCCTTCCCTCACACTCCTTATCCCCTCACCATCCTGTTTCTCCATTCAAGGGCAAATGATAACACTGGAGGAGGTTAGGAATAGGCCCTTTCAGGCAAACTAAAGGAAAGGGAATTGTGATTTAATCTAGAAAAGAGAGGATTGAGAGGGACCTGCATATCAGTCTTCTGGTAAGTAAAGGCATGTTTGTTTGTTTTTTTAATCACTGAGAAATAGTTTTCTGTTCCCATGTAGGACAGGAGAACACATATATTGTAGTAGAAGAGATTACCAGCTAAAGGAAGTGTTATAAATGTCAAGGCATTAACAAAGGAGGTTGTAGATGTTTCTCTGGATATTTTAAAAGAAGGACTAAGGAGCCATTACTCTGGGAGTGATTTAGAGGGAGGAGGGAGCCTATCTGCCCAAAGCCCCTGGGGGATGGACCAAATGGCTTCTTAAGTACATATATTCCTAGCCCCAAAGGTTAGTGATCCAGGAGAAGGAGAGGAATTACAAGGTGGAGGCCTTGGAAATCCTAGAAGAATGATGGTTCTAATAGATACCAGAGAGTTATTGCTATTTTGGTTTGTACTCAAACCGATAACTGACCATCCTTCTTTTCTGAAGATATGAGCCTAGGGAACAGGCTAAAATCAATCTATGCCTAATCTTCCAGCTGGCAGCTTCCCCCTTCTTGGCAGAGGCTGGTGAGAGGGAAGGCAGTATGAAGATAAGGGAACAGGGAGCCAACTCTATCTAGGAGCTGTGTGGACCATTGAAGAAGGCTGATACACTAGTTATAGTTTGAGATAGTTCTCCTTTTCTATTTTTTAAGCTTTTCATAGACTTTCATGAACTAGGATCCCATCAGGTACCTCTGAAGAAGACTGGTAGACACCTGTGCTCTGACCTTACCTTCCTCAGTGACTTTGAGGGGGATGAGCCTTGTGGTCTTCACAAAGGGACGATGTGAGTCAAATTCAAACTCCCTGGAGACATTGCAGGTGTAGATACCCGAGTCATTCAGTGTGACATTGAGCACAGTGAGGGAGACATCCTGCAGGTCTTTGCTCCCATTCCACTGTAGGCGACCTTGGAAGGGGCTCTCGACTTCCTGGTGGCCATTTCGGAACTCGTAGATCTGAAATCAGAGAGACAGAAAGAGGAGAGAGGTCCAGAGGGGGCAGATGTGGGGTGAGGATGAGGGCATGAAAGGAACAGATGTGGATGAGTAGAGGAGAAATGAGTAGCAAGGAAAAGGAGAAGGCAGAGAGAAAGGAAAAAAGTACAGAGGACTAGGGCAAAGGTAGGTAGGGAAAGGCAGTGGGAAAGGAAAGGGAAGAACAAATGAAGAAGGTGAAAGGAAAAGGCCAGAAGTTGGGGATGGAGTGGGAGAGTGAAGATTGAGGATAGGAAGGGATTAGAAAAAAAGGGGCACAAGACTATAGATTCAGAGTTGCAAAGGATCTTTGAAACCATCCAGTCCAACTCCTAGGTTTTAAAGCAAAAAGACTGAGGTTCAAAGAGGTTACATTCAAAGTCACAAGTATTAAGCAGAAGAGCCAGAATTTAAACTCATTTTCTTGGACACTAAATCCATCACTTTTCCCATTGTATCACCCTGTCCTCTCTAGTAATGAAAGGGAAAAAGTTGGAAACAAAAGAGGTGCATGATGAATGTGGCTAGGTGGATAGGAAGAGGTGAAGCCCAAGAGAATTTTGATAGAATTCAGAGTTGGAAGGGACCTCAGGAACCATTTGGTCCAGCCCAAACCAGAATCCTTTGGACATCACATTGAGCAATTGGTCACTCAGCCTTCACTTGAAGTTTCTTTAGTGATAAGCCCATCTATAGGCCTTTAGGGGTCCTTGAACTCTACAGCTTAACTCCTTGACTATCAAAGCTGATCCTCCATGCAAAAGGATGTGGGACAGTCCAAGGTCTTTCCACAAGGGGTAGGGAGGTTGTCACCTATTGTGTAAACTTGGGTTCATTGCCTGGCAGATGATTGTAGCTCCAAAATTCTACCACTCTGTGATCTCCAATATATATCTTCTTTTACCTCAGAGGTTCTTAACCTATTCCTAAAGGATCTGTGGAGAGATTTCAATTGTTCTGTGACCTTGGAATGGTGAAAAAAATGCCCCAATGTAATCAATTTCCTTTGTAATCATATGTATTTTATTTTTTGTATTTAAAAACATTATTCTGAGGAGCCAAAAGGCTTCACCAGACTGCCATGGGAGAGGTCTATGACTCACACAAAAAAAACCTTAAAAACCTCTGCTGTACACCGAAGTTCCCTATTAAGTTGGGAGGGTTAGAAAAATACTTGTTACCACTTCCTGGCCCCTCACACCCCATCTGACCAGGCCTAAGATGTTGGTGTCTTGCTCAGCTGCTCAGACATACAGGAAAAGGAATATGGTATCAATGTTCTAGGTATATTGTTTCCTTTGACCAGATATTTGGACTCTGTCCCCAACTGACTATTCTATATTAGTCGGGTGCAAGGCATGTATTACAGATTCTTAGTGAATCACTGTTGGACACAGTTCTCCCTGGCTTATTCTACATTAGCGTGAACCTCTGTATCTCAGAGTTGCAAACAAATTCACCTGTGGGGAATATCAGCATTTTGCTATATTTACAAGGAAAAAAATCCTTGGCATTGGTCACATCCTACCTGATAAGCCAGAAAGGTTTTCCCTCTATCACTGTAAGTATGAATAGGATTGAGGAGTTTGTAGAGTACTTTTCAGTCCCTTTTTTTCTTAATTAGCCTGTTTTACATGGGAAAGGGTACGGAAAGAGCAATCAGGAGCCTGAGCTCTAATTCTGGCTCTGCTCCTATCAGGCTGTGTGACATTGAGCATTCTCCTCTTGGGTGAACCCCAAATTTCTCATCTCTAAAAGGAGAAAGTTGAATTAGACAGTCTTCCAACTTCAGCAATCTACAAGTCTAACTAGATAAGGCTGGGGTCTGGCAAAGCTGCAGTGATCGAAAATAAACATAATAATTAGCATTTACAAAACTCTTTCAGGTTTGCTAAGTGCTTTAGGTGGGGCATTCCTATTTTGCAGATGAGGAAACTGAGACTGAAAGAGATTAAGTGGCTTGCCCAAGGTCACTCAGCTAGTAAATACCTGAGGCAGGATTTGAATTCAGGTCTTCATGACTCCAAGTCCAACACCCTAGCAACTGGGGCACCTAGCATCTCTTGGAGGAAATTGCTTGTAGATACTGGATGTAGTGTAGGAAGCAAGGGACAAGCTGACTGGCAATGGGAAAAGGAGAGTAGAAGGGACAAAGAACCTCTGCACTAGGAGAGGCCTTGAAAGGACATTTAGTCTATCTGTCTCCATGTCATGCAGATGAGAATCCACCTTGTTTTTAAAGCCTCAAGTCCTGGAGGGGAAGGCCAGTGAGAAGAGGTGAAATTCAAAAAGATCAAAATTCTGTTTAACTGTTTGCTAGAGGAGGAGGAGGAGTGGGGATGAGGACAGAGATTTGTTGAGAGGAAGTATAGTGTAGCAGAACGCATGTTGGAGTTGGAGATAGAAGACCTGCATCAGGGGTTCAAGTCTTGGCTCTGATATTTACCGCCTAAGTAGGCCTCTTTGGCCCTGCTGTTTCTCATTTGTAAAATGAAAGTATTTGAAGTAACTACATCACTGAATTGTTGGAAGGCCTATAAACACATAAGCCATTATGACCGGGGAGAAAGATGAAACTATGGGCTAAAGATGAAGCTTGGGAATTCACTAGGGATTTCAAGGATCCATGCTACTCATCACCCCAGACCCTTGAGATCTTGTTGCCTACAGTGCGTTTCTCTGAGGCTCAACTTCACCAGAGCTGTCAATTAGCCACAGAGAGAGAGCTGAGTGTATGGAAGTGTCTTCCCTCTAGAAGTCAGCAAAAGTAACAGAAGAGCCAATGGCTGTACATACAAGTAAATCTTTACCGCCCTCTGGCCGGTAAAACCATTCCACCACAGTACTGGCTGTCACTTCTTCTCTCTTCATGCAGGAGATGCACCGGAGTTTCATCTGTTTGCCCTGGACTGCTTCTGTCTCCGAAGGGACTTCCACGCAGACTGGAAAGCAAACATGAACTGGAGAGGAAAATGGAGCAGGGTATTTAGGAGGTGGGGCAGAAGAGAGGCATTGGGAAGGGAGACCAGAGAAGAGGGGAGGGAGAGAATAGAGAGATAAAGAACAATAAAGACTGGGGGAAATAGGACAGATGCAAAGGCAATCCAACATTCAACAAAACATTAAAGTACTGACTATGCAGAGCATGATGCTAGGTGCAAGGCAGATAAAACTATGTATGCCTGAATCTTTGATCTCTGCCCTTGTGGTATTCATTATCTCCAGAAATAATATACAAAAACAATTATAATAAAAAATCCCTTAATCTTCCTTCACCTTGGTAAGGCCTCTCTTACAACTGATTGTCTGTTAGGTACAGGGAGGGACTTCTGTAGTGCTAATAAGGTTTACAAAGTACTAAGGTCACAACTACCCTCTTAGGTGCATAATACAAGTTTTATTAAAGAATTATTACAATTTTATAGTTGAGGAAACTGAGGGTCAGAGGAGTAAAATGACTTTGCCTTTACTTCATTCTTTAGAGGAAGGTTTGGTAGAACAAAGAACAGGAAAAGAATTCTAGTTGAAGGACACAGAGGAGGAGAAAGAAGAAATGGTGGAGGAGATTTTGAGAGTTTGGGAATTCTGAAGAATGCCAGAGATTGAATTTGAGGATGGAAATTTGGGAGGATTCAAGGAGAAGTCAAAGGGAGACTGGAAATTGAAGGACCAGAGCCAAAGGATAAGGACTTTAGTAGGAAAAGGATTCAAGAAGAAAGAGAAGGAGCAGAAAGGAGAAGGATTTGCATTGAAGGGACAAAAAGAGGAAAGAAGAAAACAAAGAGGAAGAGGCCTAGAGGAAGAGAAAGGTAAACAGAAGGGGAATGGTATAGGGAGGAGAAGGAAGTCTGTCAGGCAAGGGAAAAGAATTTAGATATGGCTCTCAACGTGCTTACATGAACAGCATTTGCTCTTTTGCTTTGGCTAAGTGATTGTCACCTATGTTCAATTAGAAGAGCAGGTAAAGGTGCACCTCAGAAAATGCCTCTTCACTTCTCAGGCTAACAGGAAGAATGAAACATTTCTTTAAAAAAGTGACTTTGCCTCTTTGACCCTGTTTCCCTTTTCTGTTCCTTTCTCCTTTGCCACATTCTGCCACCTTCCACCTCTCCATCCTAACCTTCTTGGACAGGTGAAAAGTGGCCATCCTGACCTGCATGGAGAGGTGCAAAGTGGCAGAATATAATGAAAGGGAAGGAATAAAAAGAAAGTTTGAAGATGTAGGAAGTAAGGGGATACTGAGGGCACAATGTAGCAGCTATTTAATGATCTGATAACAAAAGTAATGAAATCTACTGTTTTTCTTGGTCATGGATCCACAGAACCTCCCAAGACTTGTCAGATTGGATGACTCTGGTGATTAGCATGGGCACAGATATTACTAGAAGGAAATCCTGAAAGCCTTGCTATAGACTAAATCACAGGCAGAAAAATTAAGACTTTATCAGCACAGGTGGTGTTAGATAAAGGTTGCCAAAAGAAAGGTAGATTTGGGAAGTGATTATCTGATTAAAAAGGTGATGTCTGAGAATGGGATTTGAATTCTGCACCATGGCTTAAAATGGCATGCATCTGGACAGGGATAAAATACACCTAATATGAGCTATTCAGAATATTTGCCTAAAGTTTGCAAATCTAATTAAAATAGCTTTATACTGAAAAGGAAGTTAGAAGGATAATAATGCTGATATATACATACATATATTTATTACAAATTTTATATGAACATATTATATATTTAATATAGTCTTTTTTTAAGGGAGGCAATTAGGGTTAAGTGATTTGCTCAGGGACACACAGCTAGCAAATATCTGAGAGCAGATTTGAACTCACGTCCTCCTGACTCCAGGGCCAGTGCTCTAGCCTCCGTACCATCTAGCTTCCCCTTTAAAATGTTTTTGTCTATTTAAATATATATATACATATATATGCATATATATACATATGCATATATATACACATGCATGTATCTCCACTGGGTTGGATGCCATGGAGATTGCAACCAATCTATGCCTGCCCATCCTATGTTACTCTTATTTATCTTCCCAAATGTTTACAGCTGGGAATCTATCCAATGTGCTAAAGGTGTTGCTCTTGTTCTGATAATTTTGTGCGTGGCAATGGGGCATATAGGTTGCCCATTGGTTATCCCTCCCTCTTGCTATTTGGAGAGCCCATCTTTTTTATGGTCAAACATTTTTAGGATGATGCTACTTTACCTGTATAATTCCACTTTGGTTAGGTGTTGCAGCCTGCTCACACTCACTGAATGGCTTTTTATTGTCCCTTGGATTATTCTCAATTTCATTTCTTTGGAGAATGCAGTGTTCCATGATTCACAGAGATGCAACACCACCAGAATATTATTGTTAAAAGATGAGGAAGAAGTTTGAGGCCATCAAAAAAAAGCAGCACAATTTTCCCAAAGCAATTCAACCTGCTTTCCTCATCCTATTCAGTTTTGGGTTCAGTTAATTGTTTATTTGCAGTGTTTGCTTAGGCTATATGTACTGGTTGTTGAATTCTATGGCTTATCCCTTCAAATAAATATCATAGTTTGTGCATTCTTCATTCACTTTGCTATTCCTGTGTGGATAATCAGGCTCAGCTCTTTTCAGTGATTATGGATCTCATTTATATAAAATGTTTAAAATTTCATTTAATAATAATTATTATTTTGAGATGTATACTGAGTTAAAAGTCACGAAATTAACTTTGCAATGCTTTCAATAGTGTATTATTACCTTCTTTTTATAAAATCAACTGTTTGACTCTTTAAATAACTTCATTCTAATTAAATTAGTCAATTTTTTCCCCACTTGGACTGTCCAGTCTGCTAATGTACAAGGAAACTGAATTACCAGCATACCTGCACTTAGTAATTGCTTAATAAATCCTTGTTGACTGATAAAATGACATAGATTTTATATATGAGCCACTGCTGCTGTGGATAGAGTGATTAGATCTTGATTGGCTCAGTATAGTTTTCATGGAAGAGGTGAGTTTTAAAAGCAGTCTTGACTCTTCTGAAGCAAAGTCAAGATTGTGCAGAAACTGAAATTGGGAACAAGGTGGTCATGGAATCATAGAATCTGAGAGTTGATGGGGGAACTCAGAGGTCATTCAGTTCAACCATACTCGAAACAGAACCTCTCCCTCAACCCCCTTCCCCTTATAATATAAACTTGTTGCCTTTTTTTTTGAAGCCCATTGTATTATTGGAATGTTGGTTGTTAGCACAGAGAGAACAGTTGTAGGACTCAGCCTTAAGGAAAAATCCAAATTAATAAGTAAGCAGTCAGTCAATTTAGTGGTTATGTGCTCAAAGTAGAAATGGTGACATGCAGCACAGAATGTAAAATTATTTTTCATTCCATCTTTTTCTTTGACTAATGTAGCATATGTTCTACAGTCACTCTCTCAACACCCATTTGCACTGGTAGGTCAGCTCCCAAAAAGGTAGCCACATTTCCCCTCTTGGTTATAGAAGACCTTGAGAAACTAGATGTGGTTTTGTATTGCTGTAGTTCACAAGTCCCCTACTGGTCAGCTTCCCCAATTGATTATTAGGAGATATCAATTAGTCATCCAAATTTAGTTAGTTTTTAAGTATTTGCTATGATGACATCTTTAATACAAAAGAACCCCCCCAAAGTATGACATTCTCCCACACATTCATTCAGAGACAATGGTAGAGTGGGCTCAATCTTAGAGCCCATGGATCTTAAAAAGGGTAACTCACAGCTACTGTAAATCTTTTTGCTATAGTATTCAAGATGTTCCCCTTGGTACAGATTACTTTTTCTGCTGTGATCCTGGTACAGTCTTCAATCTACAAACAAACACTGCTAACAGATATTGCTGGGGGACTATTAGGATTCTGAGGAAAAGTCTAAATCCAATGGTCATCTGAAGTCCTCTTCTGGCCAAGTGATTGGGATGGGGATAAAGAATACCAAGTTCAAGGCTCACACTGGGGAATTTCTTATGGGATTCTCATCTGGCTCTCCACTCACTTGAATCTCTCAGTTCCAAGTTGGCTAAATATTTTATAGACAACCCATGGGGCATGACCAAGTTTCTTCATGCAATCCAAATATACTTCCTGGGCAGTCTAACTCATCTAAATGACTTTCAAAGATATTTAAACTGATCAAAGACTTTATCCACTCTTAAACTAAAACCTAAGACTGATTGGTTCAATAAAGAAATGCCCCTACCCCAGTTAAAGGGGATCAGTTAAAATATCAGAGCATAAAATTTTGATGCTTGTTTCAATTGGCTGGGATGCTTACTTTAATTTGCATTGCCTAGGTCAGAGATTCTTAACCTTGGGCTCAATAGCTGATTTTTATAAAAATATTTTGATAACTATATTTTTTTAAACTAGGCAATGGGGTTAAGTGACTTGCCCAGGGTCACACAGCTAGTGAGTGTTATGTGTTTGAGGCCAGATTTGAAATGAGGTCCTCCTGACTTCAGGGCTGGTGCTCTATCCACTGTACCACCTACCTGCCCCTTGATAACTGTATTTCAATATAATTAATTTCCTTTGTGATCCTGTTACTTTATTTTATATATTTAAAAACATCATTCTGAGACAAGACCTATGTCATCTCTTAGTTTGTAGTACTGGAGGCCTTACAGTAAACCAAACAAATCTCACTGCTTCTCTTCTCCAGGTTGAGCTCAGGCTGAATACATAGCAATCAGATGAAAGACTGACTATCTTAGAAACTTCACTCATTCAACAAAAATGTATTAAGTGCTTACTTAGTAACACAAATAAATAATAAAGAACATTGTGCTAGGCATCAGGAAAGATTGAGAATTTAGAAAAGACATTGTCGATGACCTCATGGAGTTGTTCCAGTCTACTTGAATTATCCAGTTGTCTCTCCCTCTCTCTGTCATAACTCCCCTGTTCTGATGTTTTACCATTTACATCTATACATTACAGTATATGCATTGTCCTTGTCCATGTTCTTCTTACGTCTTCCCATATGTGTTGCTCTGTTCCTCACACCCACTTGAGGGGAAGACTGTGCCACTATCCCTCTGGTGTGCCTTTATTACATCCAATACAAATTAAGTTGTAGAGCTCACTGCAGTCTAAACAGAAATGGATTTGAAATCAGAGAACCTGGTTTTGAATCCTGACTCTTTTTACTTACAACCTGTGTGACCTTGGGCAATTTATTTCTTCTTTCTGAGCCTCCATTTCATCATCTGTAAAATGAGGTGGTTGGATTGGGTGACCTCTAAATTTTCTTCTTGATCTAAATCCTATGAATTTTTGAGTGAGTAGCCTTGAACAAATCACTTGACCTTCTACTGCCCTAAGTTTCAGTGCTGAAATCTTTGATTTGTTTGAAACCTTGCCTCAGCCGCCTTCTCCTCCCCCCCAGAGTCCTCTTCTTCCATCAGTGAGTTTCTTCTGGAACCTACATTTTTTTTTTAGGCAATTGGGGTGAAGTGACTTGCCCAGGGTCACACAGCTAGTAAGTGTCAAGTGTTTGGTCTGAGGCCGAATTTGAACTCAGGTCCTCCTGACTTCAGGGCCGGTGCTCTATCCACTGTGCCACCTAGCTGCCGCCACCTGGCTGCCCCTGGAACCTACATTTTAAGAAAGGACCCAGACTAGGCATGCCTCATTCTCTGGCCTTTGCTACCATATCCTCATGCAGTTACCTTATCTCCACCCTCTCAATTCGATTTTATGTGTTGTCTTTCCTCATTAGAATGTATGTTCCTTGAGGACAAAGACTTTTTTATGGCTTATATTTCTATCCCCAGCACTTAGCACAGTACCTGGTGCTTAATAAATGCCTGTTGATCTTCCTAGTCATTGGAGTAAACTCCCAAGAAGGAGGGAAAATGCCATGTGGATGCTATTAATGAAGTCACTTTATGAAGGTACAAAAGTAACCTTAAGAATAGTGTGTGGCTCCCTGTATGGCACCCCTAAAACATCTATCTTTACTGTCTTTTTCATAGTATTGACTCCTTTAGGGTTTAGTATTAAAAGCCCCTATTAAAATGCAACTAGTATATAGAATTGGTAAAACCTTGTCACCATTGACTTTTATAAACCACCATACAACACCACAGCATGAATTAATTAATCAAGTGAGAGACAATAAGAGACAATCACTTGCTTTTCTGTCTCCTGACTCTCTGCTTTTTAATTGTCTGTCCTTCATGTCTAGATTATTCTCCCTTCTCACCTCCTCATAATGGCTTCCCTAGCCTTCAAGTCTAAGCTCAAATCCTACATTTTGCAGATTTTTCAAAGTCCCTCTCACTGCTAGTGCTTTCCCTCTGAGATAACCTTCTATTTACACTGTGTATATCTTGCACATACAACTTTTGCATGTTGTCTCTTCCATTAGAATGTAAATTCCTTGAGGGCCGGAATCATTTTTTTTTTGCCTTTTCCTCCAGCATTTAGCACAGAACCTGATGCATAATGAGCACTTAATAAATGTTTGTTTACTGATACAATAATAGGGCAGTTGAAAGAGCACTAAAATGGGAATCAGGAGAGTGAATTCTGGTTCTGGTTTATGCCACTGATTAACTGTCCTTGGTCAAGCCAGCTCACCTCCTTAATCCACAGTTTTTTCAGCTGTAAAACTAGATCTAGATAATTTCTAAGGACGGTCTTAATATTCTATGATTCTAAATTATCCAGCCTATTACCCCACAGGAACATGAAGGGATGAAGCATAAGGCAGATCTGTTTTGATAGAAAGACATAAAAAGAAAAGATTCAGAGTATGGGCTGATGCCTAGCATGACAGGCCTGTATGAAGGGTTGCAGTGAGGCTTATGGGCAGCCATATGGAAACATGGGGCTACCAGGCTCCTAAAAGTGAAAGAGGTCAACAAAGTAGAGGGGGAAGACAGAATGCAAAGTGGAATTCTATAAACAAAAACAACTGCTTGTTTTGCTATTTTACCAGGGGCCAACCCAGCTGGGAGAAATTATGCCTGATAAAGGGTCCTTTCTTCTTCAAAGAAACATGCAGCAAATTAAAGAAAGGGGGCTTTTACCATTCCTATTGAGATTTATGTGAAAAGTCAGCTGGGGAAAGGGCCACTCATCTCATCTAAGGTGACAATACTCCTCCTGCTGGAGCGCATATGCTAATGAAATGAACTCTTTTGAGGTAAGGCTTTCACTGGGATCCTGCAGTCAGGATTTCCCCAAACCACACCTCCTCAGTACTTCAGTTTGGTAATCACTGTACAGTTTACAAGGCAGTAAAATGATTTGACTCAGGGTGAGCAGAGATGGTTGTAGCAGGCACATTTGCTCCACAGAGGTTTTCTTCTCAGCATGTAGCTATTCCAGCAACAGCCAGCATTTTTCGTCATGCCCAAGCCTCCCTTTTGAAGCCCCAATATCCCCAAACAAATTCCCAGTCTTAAGCCATCAAGGCAGGTGAGATCATCAGCAGCCTATTGTGTCTGTTCCACCTCTAGCCTTAAGTCTATTCTACTGGGGATAGATGGCAGTGCGCCTGCCCTCTGGGCTGGCTCTGATTCTGCCTTCTCTTCTTGCCTAGACTGTTTCTTCTCTGACTCATCAAGCATTTTGTTAAAAAGAAAATTCAGCTCTGCCTCAGCTCACATGAGCAGCAGTATAGTGCTGGCAGGCAGGGTCATCACTGGAGACCTGACAAAGAAATACAGAGGCAGAGAGGCTATTCCTGTCAGCATGTCGGCCACTGCTACAGCAAAGTCAGCTTCATACCATTCAGGGAAACAGTTCAACATACCTGGTTTCAACACAAGGGAATAGTTTTATCCATATACAGCCAACTGCTCATGATCAGTTCTAATTCAGGGAAGTGGTGACATAAATAAACTAAATCATACATGATCTAATTGTTCCTGTTTGGCTTAAGAATTCAGAGGCACCCAAGCGGAAAGGCACATTTAGGTAAGCAACAACACATTTTTAGATACAGCTAATTCCAAGCCCAATCCAGACTCCTTTCTGGATCAGTCCTAGAACTGACTATTCAGCAATCCACTGGGTAGTAAAAGGAGGCTCAAGAAAATTATGAAGGCCACCACAGAATATCAGAATGAACAGTTGTGACTTGACTATATTGTTTTATAATATTTTAATGCAAACTCTTATTCACTAGAAAAACCCTAGAAACTCACCTTCAGGTGTCCAGGAAAATAAATGCCATTTTACATTTTTTCCTGTTTATTTGACACCTCTAGCAAAAATATCTTTTTCACCATCTCTCTCAGCCTTCCTTAGAAGTAAGCAGCTGCATCAATGGATGGTACCTTTTCATTCAACGACTGCATCCATATGTCATATACATATACAGTACAGGACACACACATACATGTATATGCATACATAACAGAGTATGCTGAATGCAATATACTGAATGCAATATTTGTCCAAATGAATAGGAGGCATCCACTGATGATATAAACACACGCACATTTAAAAAAAATAGTTATGTAAATTTGAGTACCCAGCCACATTTCCAAAAGGATTGGCTATTTATTAGGAAAGGGATAGTTGTGAAATTACCATCACTAATGTAATTTGGGCAATGGACATGATTTTTACCTTTCCAGCAAGGAAAAGAAAACCCTCCTAGAATGGTAAAGGAATTGTGAGGCAATGGAAACCCACTAGTGGAGATAAAAGAGAAAAAAAGAAAGCTCCATCCCCCATCCTCGAGAAGGAGGATTCATCTGGCAGAGATACCTAAATGGGGCTCAGTCAATATTCACTGGTATCATTAATATTATTAATACGTGTTATTATTGTCAGTGTTATTACAGTTATCTGAGTCTAGCATGGCAGGGGGCTGATACTTACCCCAGCAGATGAGCATGAGGGAAGCCAGAGAAAACAAGCTACTGAGAGCAGGCATCTTTCTCAGACTCTGGCCTGATCAAGCGTTTCTTTCCGACAAGGACTGCACCCCTTCTTTCGAGGAAACCTCCAAGGATGAACTCCCTTGGGAGAAAAGCTCAGACAGTCGGATTGCTGGGAACACTTTTTGTAGGTGAGTTTCAACACGTTGGTGCAGCTTCTGGCGCTTTTCGAAGGCAACAGCCTCTTTGCCTGCCTCCTCACCCCCAAATCCTCCTGCCCCTTCGGGGATTCCTCCTTACTTCTAAGGAGTGGTTCAGCAAATCGAAAATGTTCTCTAGGTCCGGCCAATAAGACCTAGTTCAGAACCGCGGACAGTACCTCCTCACCTCCTCCTGAACTCCAATCTCGGTTCCCTTCCGTATCTTCTTTTCTCTCTAGGCTTAGCCTCGGAGCTCAGCATATAGGCGGGAATGCTCCATGCTTTCCGATGACACCTCGCCACGATATAGCTCTCCGCTCTGCCTGGGTTTGTTGGCACCCCGGGAGCTCCAGTTTCATCTACCTTTCCCAAAGATTCTCGCTGGAGAGCTTTGGAGTGACGTGCCCCTGGCCCTCGAAGACACCAGGACTGCTCGTCGGAGCTGGAAATTTCTCTTCTGTCCGTCCGTCAGGTTCTTTAATTTCCAGGAGGTTCTGAGAGGCTAGGGCTAGAGGAGGAAGCTCAGGGTTCTGCTGGGGATCTGCGAGAAGGGAGGACAGGTGGGCGGGGCCGGGAGAGAGAAAAGTATCCAAGCCGCCCTCGGTCTTCACTGCCTGATGGTGCTAGATGACCCCTTGTGACAGGTAGTCTGAAGAGCTGCCCAGCTCTGAGCTCTCCTAATCCTGGAGTGTTCACTTAGCCTTGACATGCGCAGCCTTGACATGTTCCCCGCCCCCACTGCCTCCCTGGGCCCACCCCCCTCTTTGCACTCACTCCCCACACCCATAGAGATTGCCACTCCTACAGCGGAGTACACCAATGAAGCTCCCTCCTTCCCCTCCTCCCACCCAAGGCCAGGGGGCGGGGAACACCTTTGATCCAGACAATTTTCCCGCTATGTCTCTTCCTCTTCTCCCCATCAGTACACCACACCCTCCTCACCACACAGGCACACACACACACACACACACACACACACACACACACACACACACACGAACACCACTTCAGACAAATCCACATTTGCACTCACGCACACATTTGCTTTCTTTCCTAAAAGAAAAGAACAGAAAGCTTCTCGACGCAAATGATGTCATCTTCAATGTACACAGCACATAGCTTCCTTTCCCCCCAACTAACGTCCCTCTTTTATTTTCATCTCTACTTGATTAATTGATTTTCATCACATTAAGATTTATTTAAGAACATCTCTGCTCTGGGGGCAGGGGGAGAGCACCTGTTCCTTTGTTCACTGATCCAAACCTCAGGCTCAAAGGTGGTTCTGGGTATAGTTTCATTCCCTTCTTCCTCTTCCCCTAATCCACAGCCCTCTGATTTTGCCAACCTTTTCTCACTTTCCTTCACAAAAAGAAAAAGAAAATGACTGTGGTGCTATGTTATTTCTTTTCACTATGAGCTACTCCTAGACTGAAGCAGCTG